GACGAAAGACTGGGTGACGCTCAAATCCCGAATCCAAGCGGAAGTGATACAGGGAAGAATGGAGAGAGCTCACAGGCGAAACCCTGGGGTGGTGGTATTTTCGGGCGCCACAAAGTGACCAGAGGGGCTTATCTGTCGCCCTGGCGGTGACGTGTCGTCGTTGGCAGGGAGCAGAGTTTGTTACGGGTTTCGGCATGTTGTTGTTTCGCGGGGATGGAGGCGGTACAGCTAGGGTTAATACGCCCTGTTGGCAATAGCCACCTCGTCTAGACCACAGCGCCATGAAACCGACAGAATTTTCACCTCGGCGCAAGAACTTCGCGTTCGGGACTCTTCGCTCCTGGATAGCTTGGCGAGCGCGGCCACCCCTCCGTTCGCAACCACGTTCGCCCGCTTCTCGGGCTTCTTGGAGAGAGTGGCTAGGGATATCGCTAGTCGCCGTCGCCGCTCCTCGCCTGCTACGCGGTGCGCCTGGGGGGGTCACACATGCACGGGCGACAAAGTTGTACTATTCGCATTGCTAGCGGTTCCATCTGTTTGGGATTATTGTCCGAACCTTTACACGGATTGAAACGCTGAGCAGACACCCGTCCCACCCGTCAGAATCCACTCTTCAAAAGCAGCTCACGCCGTGGACGGGCTCGTTCACAGTCTCCGGTTGCAACATCTTGCTTTCTGCTCGAGGGTTTGCGTGCGGTTCCTGGAGAAAAGTTCCGTGAACAAGATCTACAGAGGTATCCTGTAGATGCTTCCGTAGGTATTGTCGGAGTGCGTGCAAACCGCGCAGGTGTTCTCTCTCTCTCTCTCTCTCTCTCTCTCTCTCTCTCTCTCTCTCTCTCTCTCCCTCTCTCTCCCTCTCTCTCCCTCTCTCCTCTCTCATATTTGCTCTCTCCGGGCCGCACACACTGTACACCCTTTTCCGCTTGATAACGCTCAATCCAGTTGCCAAATGGAGCATGGGTTTGCTTCTCGTAACGCTGACGACAGCCGATCCTCGTAACCCGTGCATCGCTCTACCAACGCGACAAAAAAGGCCACCCAGATGCAAGAAAAACAGAAGCTCTTTCTGTGTGGAATCCACGTGCAATCACTTAGCTTGTTGGCTGTTTTAGTTCCATGTTCCTTGCGTGTGGTTCAATCAAACAGAACGGTGATGTTCAGCACGACGTACGTATTGCATGGCCGGAGGATTTCTGCTTGATGGTCAAGTGGCGTTCGAACATCAGGTACTGCATCTCACGACGCCTCCCACACGGAACTCAAGCGGAACCGGACCCCAACAAACACATAGGGCACTCGGCGGGTGAAGCCGTTAGGGTGTGGGACGTGCTTAAGCAACATCGACACAATACCTTACCTACCTCTTGTTCCGCCACGGAATCTTCTCCTTCCTTGGCCCCGTATTGAGCGAGAGACCTTTGCCCTTGCTCCTCGGCGGTGTCCACGCGAGTCTTCTTCGGGTCTCTGCTGGGATCCATCCGGCTGAGGTAGAGCATTCCTTGGGTGTTGTCCTTGCCGGAGTTGCCGAACAAGTCGCCCTGGGTGCATGCGCCCGGACGTGCACATAACAGGGGTAAGGACTTTGAAAGCTGGGACGGCAGGGTGGAGATGATGTAGGGACTCCTAGTAGGACCCCTTCGGTCAGTCTCGTACTCCTGTACTGCTGTAGAATTCTCCAGGTGTCCAGCTCATGGAAGAGTTTGAGGGGTTTGGCCTCAAATGGATTTCTTCTACCATCGAACCCCACCTGTTGTTAAAATGTCTATTCTACCGTCAGCCTACTCGAGCAAGTCTTCGTGGCGTGTCATCGCATTCCATGCACGACGCGAAATACAAACGGGAGTTTGACCGTTGTACTTCCCCCATGTACCTGGTAAGGCTTGAACAAACTCTTGACGACATGAAATTGTTCCCTGCCTTCGCCAAGGCCAGGGGTGGAAACCGCCGCAGGAAGGGATCCCTTGGTCAAGGGTGGCGTGCGCTTTGAAGTTCTCCGAGTCTTTTCGTCCGAAGCCGACAACGACGTGGCCGCGCTTCCTAGCGCTGCGCCTCGCGTGGGCAGGGCTCGGCTCCCCAGCCGGCTAACACGCCTTGCTCCTCCCCTCCCCGTACCCTCAACGGGAAGCTTACCCATCGCTATCTTTCGGTAGCACAGGTCGCCAGGGGCACCAGGTTGTGGGGGCACGTACTACAACCTGGACATGACCTCACGGTGAACAGCTATCCCCGCCATTGCCAAGTGCAGCGTTCATCCAAACAAGGGGCTGGCTGAGAGCACACAGAGAGATACCAGTTTGATCCCTTCCTCCCAAGGTCCCACCCCAACCTTCCACCGGTTGCAGTTGGTATCCAACCTGCCGTAACCTCAACCTCTGACCACCGGTGAATTGCGTACATGCGCAGGTGTACACCAGTACAACAACGCGCAAACCTAGGCCCAAACCTCATCGTGCCTGCGTGCCTACGTGCCTGCTTTACATGGACAGGCATCGAAACGCAACATAAGTGCGGCGAGACTCAGCGCGAACCGAAAAAAAGTTCCGACACATGCGGCAGGCAGGAGGCACGTGGCACGTGCATGTGCATCGTGCATTGACACAGGGTTCGACTCTGCATATGCATAGACTCATCGACTGGAAGTGGTAAACTACAGCAGCAGGCAAACGATAGCGTATTCCAAGAACGACCCATAATTGTTTGTTGGCATGAAATCGACAGCAGCAGCAGTGTCTGGTACTACCGGCGTTCAGCGTAGACTATAGCTAGAAACAGCCTCATCCATCACCGATCACCCCAGCGACGGCCAAGGATTACTGTAATTCATGGACTGTTAATAATGATATTTGCTTTGTTTGGGGAAGGGGGTGCAGTTTTTCGGGACATACACCCGAAACATGCCTACTCCGGATGTTGCAGCCGTGGGATGCAAATGCATACACGTATGCAGTGATAGGGTCCCTCAGCGGTAGTGTCGGGATGTGCTCGCCGAACACCTGCACCAAAAGCGTCTTAGTACAGTACTGAATGGCACCACTGATGGACGACTATCGTACGGATGCGAGAGAACGCATGGTGTTAGCGTTTTTCAAAGCTTGATTGCTCCACAACCCGGAGGGTGCGAAAATCGATACCTCTCAAGAAAGCCCTCGACGTGATAGTCCAGATATTGTACATATTTCGAAAAGTTTCCAAGACCACGCCTGTCGTCAGTGGTAACCTCCTGGTTGTGGAGAAATCGCGCCATGAATAAAGCTGACACCCCCGTGCGTTCTCTCGCATGAATTACGGTACTGTACGTATTTTGATGTCCACAAGGCAGGACAAATACCGTGTGGCTTCCTTTTGTACGTGTAAAAAAATACTCCGTATGTCCCATCCTCGAACGAGCGGAATGGCCAATAGAATAGATCGGGGTCGCCGTCAAAAGAATCGTCCCATTTGTTGGGATGCTGGAACGACCCAGGGGAGCCGTAGGGCTCACCGGGACTAGCGCGACGCGCACACCGCGCCAAAGATACCGACATTCAGCGAGACCAATAGAGCTTCATGTAGCATAACCAATCGCGCCGCAGTTGGGGGGTCGTGGCGTTGGTTGAACAAAAAAACAGTTGGGCGGCTTCGTTCTTTTGTGGAGCACATGCAAGCTCTGCTGGAATCCGCAAACAAGGTTCCTTGTATACATGCTTGCATGAGACTGCCGCAAGAAGAGGAGCACAACCCCGACCACCCATCCGTTAATTCATCCGTGCACAGCTTACGTCCAAGCACACTCCCGTTCCTGTAGTAGTTTACTTGTTGACCCGCTGGCGCGGCCATACGTGCTGCTCCTGGGTACATCTGCCTTGCAGTGTGTCCCAGCGGGTCCAACATGTACTACTGCGACGTAGGCTGGACACACACGTAAACATGCTCAGCCAAGCTCGCCTAACGGACATCTCCAAAGGTGAGGGAATGACGCAGGTCTCCATAAGCCCCCCCCCACGCAAAGCAATGTGAAAGGCGACACAAAGCACAAAGGGCGGCGGCTGACTGATGTTCCCCGCACCCGCACGTTCGAACACCAAGAACACTCATCACCATCACCACAACAGTGCATGACAAACAATGTCTGTCTGTCTTTGATCGCACAACCCGGCCGAGCCGTGACACGAGAAAACACCAACGGTGCAGGGCGGCGATCACAAGGCAGAAAAGCACGCAGCCTCTTGCGGCGCTCGTGGCAAGGGGGCGGAGGCAGTGCGCCGCGCAAAGCCTAGAGGAAAATCCGAGGATCTCGGCACCAAACGACGGCAAGCCTCTCCGATGCAAAGACGAGAGAAAGCAAGGAGAGGGCGGACTGCCTGAACAACGGACAGGGGGGCTCGCGTAAACAACCCAGTAAACCGACCGCCCATCCCATCCCAGAGAATCAAGAGAGCAGGCCACGTACGTGTGCATACGCACAGCGCGTCCCGCGATCCGATCTGTGGTTCCCTTTAGGGGCACCTTGACGCATACCCGGAGAGGATACATGTCGTACTTATGTTTGCCACCAGGTGCTACAATAAGCGGTGCCTACCCTACAGCAGGGGAGCCGCCTAACGAGCACGATTTCCCAGCGACAGAAAAACCGCCTATTGACGCGAAGAAAGCCGTCAAGCACCTCCCGTTGCGCACCCACTAGCCCCAACTTACCAACCACAAACCACCACCCAAAAACAAGTCCACACTGGGCGCACTACATTGCCTCTAAAAAACAGATAGATTTTTCCTTCAAACGATTTGTACAGACCACGGGACGCGTTTCTCGTGAGGCCTTCCTCCTACTGGATACGCCAGGCGGCCACGTCAAAACATGCATCAAACGGAGGCGCTGGCTGGCGCCACAAAAGACATGGAACGACGAAGCACACAACGCACCGCGCCAAGAGGTGTGCGCTCGATCACGCAACCCCAAGCAGCGTGTGGGTCTGCTACCCGCTCTTCGCCCCGTCCGCGGCGGCGTGCATCGCTCCCACATGCCATGCACCCAGGAAACAAAAAAAACGCCTCAAACATGCGCAACGTCTCGACAAGGTCCTTTGCTTTGATCTCGAAGGACAACACACACCGAGAACACCACCACGCACCATATATATGGAATCAGTAGCTGGAAGCTTTCGCACCCACGCGCGTGTGCCCACGAGCTCGCGGTTCGGACCAAGACTGGGCGACCCCGCAAACTCCAAAGGGCAATACAAACGAGGGGGGGAACGAGAGTGGGAGAGTGACAAGCGTGGCGAGGTAGCCGTTTCCCGCTGAAAGGCTCCCTGTCCCGCGCATGTTCTCTGAAGTCTTACCACCACGCCTTCAAAAATGAAAAAAAAAAAAAAGACAGATGTGATGAAACCTCCCGCCGGGTTAGAGCACATGTGGACAAGACGCCAAAATGTAGGAGACCTTCATAGCGCCAGACAAGCCGCTGCCTGAAGACGCCGAAACATTGACAAATCGCATCTCCCATCACTACACGTTATTTTCACAAGAGAGAGCTTAATGTGATATCAGACATATCAACTGCTGTTCTTCTCCCAATCGAGAAAAAAGGGCGGGCGTGCAAGCGACTGAGTCAAAAATGCTCGCACCTTTTCTCTCCGCCTTCAACAAAGCACTCTCCAAACGAGCAAATTTTTATTCTACAAAAAAATAATCCGATCCCGCCTCTTGCGAAGCCCGTTGCTATTTCATTGTCTGATACTTCACGGCCAGGGAACCGATCCAGAACAAGGTGGTCAACCTGTAAAACACCCGAAAGGAAAGATCAAAAATAAGAAAGGCCTCGGGACAACTCGGCCTGGTGCACTGATTGATTGGCCAGTTCTCCCTCAGAACCAGCGCTTAATCGGCTGGCCCATTCCCACGCCCATGGCGCGGAGCCCCCCCCCCGCCGCCGCCACCGCCGCCGCCGCCGGTCGCAGGGGGTTTCTCTCTGTCAACCCAACGGACAGGAGAGGGACACCGACGCTCCCAACGATCGGCGTCGCCCCGGCCGCCGACGCGGCGGCGCCCGAGACCGCCACGTCGACGCACGCCTCCAGTCTCAGGAAATCCGCTTCCGTGGGGCACCCGGCGGCCTCGATGAAGAAGTCCACGACCGCGTACTCGTAGAGTGCCAACGGTGGGGTCGCCTCCGCCGCCAGCGAAGCTGCTGCCGCTGCCGTCCCCGACCAAGACGACCTCACTCCTGCTCCTGCTACTACTCCGCCGCCGTTCGTCAGCAAGCCCGCCGCGCTGTTGCTGCTGCTGCTGCTGCTGCTGCTCTCCACGGCTCCCCTGTTGATGGTAAACTTCGGCGAGAAGCGGTCTTTGCCCTGGGAAACCGGCGGGAAAAATCCTGTCGTTGTCGTCACAATGGCGGCGCCAGAGCTCCTGGAGCCGCCCCCGCCGCCGCCGCCGCCGCCGCCGCCGTCGCTGTGATCCTTGAGGAGGGCGCGCAGGCCGCTGACTCTCCTGACCTTGAAGGCGTGGGGGTGGACGCGGACCGCGGGTCCTTCTTCCACTCGCTGGACCACGGCCCTCAGCTCGATCACCTGTATCCCGCGACAGTTGTCGGACAAGCAAGACACGGGTGCCGCAGATAGTTAATGAGGTGCACGCTGATGCGGGAAGCTCGTGAAAGTACGGGAGGGCGGAACAGCTGGTCCAAAGTCGGGCCGGCACGTATCGAGTCGCAGAGATCGTCGCATGGAGAGCGCGGTGCAGTACACCGTCAACGATCCTTTCATGATACGAGGGGGGTTGTACTCATAGTTGTGCATGCCGTAGTCGTTAGACCATTGACCTCGCATCCCTACAAAGCCGGGACGGAGCACGCCGGGTTCTCACCGGACCAGGCTCTCACATCACCAAGTGCGAAGCGCCGTGAGGTATTCGGCGAATCGCATGGAGGGTGCGCTGCATCATACTAAGGGTGTTCGGTATCTTGTGCCTACTACCTTGAATACGGATGGCAGCTGCGAATTATTCAATTTCATGTTCTCGTACTTTCACTTCCAGAGACAGTCAACCACTGTGTAACTACCTCTAGGGTGCTTGACCAATCAAACACAACGTGACACAAGGTTAACTTCACGCCACCAAGGTGTCGCAAAGAGTACACCAAAACAGAACACCGTCCTCTCATGTGCACCTACCTCAGTCGTCCTCAACCCGGTTGACCCTTGCGTCATGACGGAGCGGCCCGTCATACCGTTACTCCGGCGGTTAAGAGCGATCCAGACCGCGACTCCCTGGACAGACAGATACAGATACCAGGCAGGAAATCCAAACTGAGATTATTATGGCTGCGTGCAAAGCCAACGGCTCCGACACGCGGTCTTTGCCGCCGGACCTGCATACATTCGGTACCGCCCGGCAAACAACAACGCATGGAAATATCCACTCTTCCAAGCACGATGTAAATAGCAAAGGGGAAGGACCTGCAAATAACAAATGGGGAAGAGGACCATGCGGGCACAAGTCTACATATGTGCGAGAGTTCAAAACAGATCTTGGGCTCGAGCATGGCAGCAGATAGCGCCTTGACGCGATTCTTTCGTTCCCCCTCCACTTCCATTCCCCCTTCCAGTCCCACCGAAAAGAAAACGTTCCGCATACCTCTTGAACGCTTCTGCCGATGACCATGTGGGAGGGACAGAAGGTCCCGCTCGGCGCGTGCACGTCCCTGTGGAGGCGGCCGTAGATCGACTGCCAGGTCGGCGGGGGCGCCGGAGGAGACAAGACCGACCTCGCCACGCCCTTGCTTTTGCTCTTGCCCTTGCCGGTGCCGTCGGCGTCATCGGGGACGCGCCAGACCTCCGCGTGGCGCTGCTCAGGCCCGAGTCTCCAGCGCGAAACGCACAGGGTGCTCCAGCTGGTTGCGGGAGGGATGCGCAACGTGGGGGGAGGGGGAGAAAAACAGCGGTGTCGAGAGAGGACGAGCACGGAGATGGGGTCCAATCCACCCAGCTGTTGTTTCGAGGTGTGTTTGGTAAGGTGCATACCGAGGCGTACCAGCGGTATTATACCTCCGGTATACCGGTACCGAGATGTTCGGTCCGTTCGGTATGGACTTCAATACCTTACCGAAGTGTTCGGTACGTTCGGTACGGACTTCAATACTTACCGAAAATACCGGTACGTTCGGTATGGACTTCGATACCTTACCGAAGTTTTCGATACGTTCAGTACAAATACTGAGATGTTCGGTACGCTGCCGGTATGAACTGTCATACCATACCGGGATGCTCGGTACGTTCGGTACAGACCTCAATACCTTACCGAAAATACCGGTACGTTCGGCATGGACTTCAATACCTTACCGAACTGTTCGGTACAATGTTAATACCTTACCGAAAATACCGGTACCGTACCAAACACACCCATGCTGAATGTACAACGTGGCCCATCCGACAAGACCTACGCACCAGGTGCGGTCTCGGAACCAAACCCTCCTAGCCCTAACAGTCTTTGTTTGTGGTTCGTCGCCCCTCCGCCACGAACGTGAAAAAAAATCCACAGACAATTCCAACTCACTTGCAATCCCACGTGCACTTGTCCCTCCAATCGCGCGAGACCTTGCTGGCTTCCTCGAGGGACTGCGGGCCGAGGAACCCGAACACCGACAGCGACAGCAGCTGCCCGAACACCTTCGCCGACGACGCCACGCCCGCCGTCGCCACGGCGCCGCTGGCACCGCCACTATCCCGCCCATGACTGCCACCGTCGTCATGCTTCTTTCTCGCTGCGGTTTCGCCATCGCCGGCGGCGCCGGCAGCACCGCTCTCGACGTGCGCCGAAGAACCGCCGCTTGCGCCTTGCTGCTGCTGCTGCTGCTGCTGCCGCAGCGCCTCGGCGAGACGGGCCAACAAGGAGGCCTTATCCTTGCGGAGGGCGATGCAGGTGGAGATCAGGTCCCGCACGAGGCCGGCGCTGCAGGCGACGACCGCGGCTCGTCGGGGGCCGCGGGTCGGGATGAGGCTCGTCGCCGCGGACGCGGAGAGGTTGGCCCCGCTCGTGCTGATCTCCACCAGCGCCTTCGGAAGAAGTGCCAAGAGCGGCGGAAAGGAGTCCGGGGAGGGCAAGGGGGGCCGGGGGGCGGGGGGGGCACCGTAACGTCGTCATCGACACATTCAGGGGCTTGCAATCACCGTGCATGTCACGAGAGATGACAGGAGCCAACGGTCCTGGGTGGTGGACGCTCTTCAGCAGCCTCACGGCCGAGTATTATTTCCAGTTCCTTGTCCCGTCGTATCTCGAACAAAAAAAAAACTACGCGTTCATGAGCATGAGGGCCACCGCATGCACACGGCTGCTGAACGAAATCACTGGAAGGCAGGGGAGGAGAGCGCCCCCGTAGTCATGATGAATGCATACCAAGAGGAACCGACGTCGAAACGGGGCGAGCGGGGTACAAGGCCACAAAACGTGACAGCGGGGGTCGCGGCGGTGTTCTTTCAGGACGCGATATCGCGCAGATGGTATTCCCCCAACTGACTTATTTATTGCTTTTTTTTTACTTTTTACTTTTGGTCCATCACATCACAACGTGAAGGCGCTACTACTGTAGCTGGTCGTTGTACGGGATTCACTCGAGCGCAGGCAGACAGGTATGCACGCCCCCTCCCGCCCTACCCCCGTCTAACACGACCTTCCAGTGTAGGGTCGGCACACACTTTTGGCACGGTGCATGTCCACACCCCACTACTCTTCTCAAAACGTTCTGTATTCTCACTTTATCTGGATTCTGCATGTATGTAAAAGGAAGGGCCAAAACAACAATCGTGTACAAGAGCTCTGCATCCAGCAGGTGAGATGCAGGTCCACATGGTGAGACGCCCCCCAGCCCCCCGCCGATCACCCCTTTCTGCGACGCGGGCCGGGGATCTCTGCGGCAATCCGTCTCAAAAACCTCACGCAAAGGCAACACCGTGCGCCCCGTCAACCTCACCGACAAACGGGCTCGCTTCACCGCTGCAGCAGGCCAGAGAAAGACCCGCTCGAGCAACTTTCGGCAACAACCAGCTCCATGCCGTCGATCGACCAAGAGCGGAAAACACAGGAGACAAAACACTACGTACGGCCCTGGCAACACACTGGAGGTTTCACGAGCTCAAGAGATTCCTATTGTACTGTACTCTACCACGTGATTCGTGAGAGAATACCACGTGTTTCGTGAGGACATGGGTGGGGTGGCAACAGGGGCGAGTGGATGCGGAGACAGGTGTGGCGTCGGGAGGGCCGCCGCCGAAGAGAGAAAGACGGACGCCTTTTAGGTGTGCATGAAAAACTTACCTCGTGAAGGTTGTCCAAGCCGTCGTTCATCTGCTGCCGAAGAAGCTTCGCGCGGTCGCGCTTGCGGGAGAAGCTCTCCCCGCCCCTCTGGTTAGGAGCACCCTGTACCCACAACGAAAAATTACATTGATGAGACAAAACAAGACAACTACTCCTACCACGTTCAAAGTACAAACCCGGCCGTTTCAGAATGTGCATGCTCCCACATTAGTACCACTATATGAGGTGATCACGCGTTAAGGTTGAAACTAGAAACCCAGGGGTTTTCGAGAGGAGAGTCCGGCTTCAAGTGCCCCAGCAACATCTTTAACCCTCCCACGTCTACTGGAAGATGTTGACTCTTTGCCTCACAATTCGCCTGGGCGTCAACATGCATGAAACGGGCGCTGATAGTTTTTTGTACAAAGTAGGCTCTCGCGTGACCCCCCAAAATCGTGTATGCGCGTGGGCCGATTTTTCGTTTTTTGTGTGTGTTTTCGTGAAAAGATTGTTGGTCCGCATTACCAGCTGCCGACGCCAAAACGTGTTTGAACTTGGTATTTGACGACGAACTGGTATCGTGGAATACTCGCTTCCACGAAAGACTTGGCTCTTCACGTTCGACAGAGACCTGTGGACAGACCATACGGAGGGAAGGGTCATTCAGTTTTTAAAATGGACAACAAAAAGCCGGTCAAAACTCTAAAAACAAGCGATTTTCGGTGTTTTTGGTGCTTTCAACGGGCGCCCTCGTAAATACGTGTGTGACGATTGCGAAAACCCTAAACGACCATTCCCTAGCTCTCGTTTCTGCGAAGGCTACCAAAGAAACCGCACCACAATCCACCACTCCGGCACCACACAGCTCGTATTACAAAATTGGGTCCCGATGGGTAGCCAGAAGGCAAAAATCAAGCTCTCCTCACAGCGAAAAAAAAAGAGAAGTCAAACGCCAAAACGAGAAGTTGGTCGCGCAAAATGGGATGAACATGGCAGCGAGGTCGGCCCAGCGCAGGTACGATGCCGTCGTTAGGCGCGAGGACGTTAGGGCGGCAAGTCGCTGTCGCGACAACGCGTTGAAAGCTGCTAGGGTAGCGCGTGAGAGTAAGGACAAGGCGATGGCCGCGAAACGAAGGGCGGAGAAAGCAGCGGAAAAGGCGCGAGCAGATGCCAACGAACAGCAGCGATTGCGCGAAGTAACGACGTCCGCAGCGCAAGCCGAACACGAGAGCAGGGTGAGGGCGGAGGAGGAGAAGCGTGCGGTGACGAAGTAGCTGGAGGACGAGCGCCGGCACACTCAGCAGCTGATGAAGGAGATGGCTCGTCTGGCTTCGGCGAAAAAGGAGCAGGAAAAAAAGTATCACGAAATGGCGCGAGAGCTGGGGCTAGAGCGACTTCGGAAAACTCCGGCTCCTCCCGTCCCCGACACCAACGTGCGTCTTCGGCACCAGGTCATCGACGAGGCGAGGAGGGCGATGCAGAGGAAAATAGAACTGGACACCATGGCGAAGCTGGTGGAGCTCAACTCCCAGCTGAGAAGGCAGGTACTTGAAAGCAGAGAAAGGTTGGGGGCAGAGACTTTCGCGGGGCTGGCATTTTTTTTGTGTGTCAACGACTTCTCCCTTTCGACGTTGCCTCTTTTTTCGTTGAACATATTCCTGATGTGCTTTTCATGGTGCTTTTTCACCCCCGCTGCTCTCCGCCGAAACAGGGTTCCCGCCAGAGGGAGACTATCGAGACACTGCGAAAGAACCTAAAGGATGGCAGTGATGCGCTCGTTGCCGCACGCAAGCCCTCTCCCGCGGGGAACGGAATGTTCGAGGAGATTCAAGATAGGTTGCGGCCCATCGATGCTACGACCAAGTCGATTCCGGAGGGCGAGGAGGAAACGGAGGGGGGAGAGCGGAAGGAGGGAGAGGAGCGGAAAGAGGGGGAGGGAACTGGAGTAACCCAGAGTAAGAGGCGGTCGTACGGGTTGAATTTGGCAGGCCTGTGCCAAGAGTATCTCGAGGCCGGGACCCCCCTTTGTCAAGTCGGCCGCTTGGTCATGTCCACGCTACGCCTTGCCACCGGCGTCGAGCTAGATGTCGCGGGGGGCAAAATGAAATTCCACGGCACGACGGTAAAGCGGCTTGCACTTGGAATTGCGCACTTGAACATGGCTGAACTGATCGCCATGATCCTCAAAGCTCCCTACTTGCTGATCGCGGGTGACGAATCGCTGCGGAAAGGGGACAAGAAGTTCCCCATTTTCGTGGCGTGTTGGGATGTCGTAGCTAGCAGGCCTTGGTGGGGGCTTCTCCGGATGTGCAGCATGAAGGACAAAACTGCGGAAACACAAGCATCGCTTTTTTTCGAGACCATCGTCAACGTTCTGAAGTACCCTCGCCGCCAAGTTTTGTACGTCCTGCCCGACAATACCGCCTCTGTCTCGGGCGAAAAGGGGGGGGTGTGCAACCAAGCTGCAGCAGAAGCTGCGGGGGGAAGACACCACGGCGGTCCCACGACAGGAGCAGGGTGGAGGGCGTGGGCGTGGGCGTGGTGGACAGGGCTCGAGAGGTAGGGCGGGGAGAGGGCGAGGTGGACAGCAGGGCGTGAGAGGAAGGGCGGGGAGCTGCACCATCGACGACCCGCGGGCGAGGAGGACGAGCAGCTGGTAGGGGGCGGGGGCGAGGCGCGAGAGGCAGCAGGCGAAGTGCCCCGGAGTCGTCTGGGGTGCGGGGAAGCGGGAGAGGCAGGCGCGGGCGCTCATGACTTGTGTGAGAGTGTCTTGATTTTTTTAGGGGGGGGTTTTCGGAGTCGTGAGCAGATTGATTGTTGTACAACGCGCGGTATCGATACCGCAGGCGCTAGACCAGCTATTGCTACCATTCCAGCGCCAAAAGTAGCTGAAGGTATAACACCCGCGACGCTGTGTTACTTGAACCTAGCCAAGTTTGGGAAGGGTGGGGTTGCATGTGATTCGTTTTTCGATGTCAACACAAATAATAGGCTTTCACGCGCGGATGATTTCTTTTTTTTTGGTGTGCGGAGTTTCTACGGTCACATCGCATCAGGATTTGTGCCAGGCGCACATAACGCTTGCGCGACCGGTAGAGCAGCTTTTCCTGCCGTTCCAGCGCCAAAAGTAGCTGTGGGTATCACACCCGCGACGCAGTGCCACTTGAACCCCGCAAAAGTTGGGGAAGGGTGGCGTTCCATGTGATTCCTGTACGATGTCAATAAAAACAAACGCTTTCACACGCGGATGACTTTTTTGGGGTGCGGAGATTTTCGGTCATTTCACGCATCATGCATCAACGTTTGTGCCAGGCGCACATCCGCTTGCGCGGCCGGTAGACCAGCTTTTGCTGCCGTTCCAGCGCCAAAAGTAGCTGTGGGTACCACACCCGCGACGCAATGCCACTTGAACCCCACAAAACTTGGGGAAGGCTGGCGTTGCATGCGATTCCCTTTCGGTGCTCACCTGAAAAATCCAGAAACGCACACAAAAAAAACTCTTTCAATTTCTTGTCACGACTCCATGTCATCCCCATCGCTGCTGCCCCCACCCGAGCTACAACTCAGCACATCGGACTTACCACTCTCATACTAAGACTCTTCAGACGACATCTCCTCCTTGAGCACGCTCCTAACAACCCAGTTGCTGCCATGCTTTGATTTCTCACTCTGGTCCCTCAAAAACTGCTTCGTGTCAAGGACCCGTTTTCGGAGCTGCCAGTCATTTGGGATTGCTTGGGCGGCACTCTTTTTCAACTCTCTCGCAACAGCAATTACCTTGTCTCCCGCCTCCCGAATTTCTTTGTTGGTGGCATGCAATCGCTGTACTCTCCTAGACTGGCTTGAGCGGAACTGCCCAAGGCGGACGATACCAATCTCTCTAGAGTCATGTTTCTGGGTGCACGTGTCGTACGTTGAGCAAACACTCTTGACGAGTTGTTGGTGGATCGGGGCAAACAAAATGGCATGGCGCGCCCATTCGTACAGGAGGGGGAAGGACCAAATCATATCAAAGCCAGAGACCCTCGGTGCCTGGCTTTCGGCATCGTCGTCGACTACAATTTCCTTCTTCTCTCGTGCAGACAGCGAATACCTCTCCACTTCTCCCCTGAACTCAGCACTCGCATTCAACTTCGAAAACATGCCAAACGTCAACTCATCTTTCTCCTCCGTTGTCTCGGCCTCCGAGAGGTCATCCCTCAAAATCTCGAGATATTCGTGCTCCTCGTCCCACCCCACCCACTCCGCGCCCTCGTTAAGTTCAGGCCAAAGCGCCAGCAAAGAAGCCCGCGCATACTCCTGGCCAACAGCGTGTTCAATCGCCTTCTCCGATCCCGCCCACTTGCCCTCAAAGAACGAACTGCAAGCTAGCCTCGCCATGCTGTACGGGAGATGCTGATGCATATCCATCCATTTCGTCCATCGCGCGATCATCTCCCGAAATAAGCCGCTCTTCTCGTTTTGGAAGTTCCGCATGAAATGCGCGAGCTGAAGCATAGGGCAATAGGGGACGGGGTCGAAGAGCAATAAGGTTTGGGCGGCGTTAGCAGCTGCACATCGTTGGCGGCGGGGAGGGTTTGCGGTGGGGAGGCAAACAAAATAGCAGAAATAGAGAGCACGATCAGAATATGAATGCACGACACCCGCATGTTTACACACCTCTTCCTCCGAGAGCGTCTTCTCGGCCCAGGCGAGCAGGTCCGGAAAATATTTTTTCGGGTGCATCCGCAGCTCCTCGAGTCGTTCCACCAGCAGGAGGGAGAAGTCGGCTATATCCGCCAACCGCATCCCTGCGGGTAGACGCTCCGCCACGCCACCCCTGCCCTCTAACAGGTAGCCTCCCTCCCCGCGAATCCAGTTGTACGCCCAGCTGAGCACTACTTTCCGCAGGGCAACGCAAAACTTTGCATGCACCCGAATGAGAGGGTCGTCCAGCATGCAGAGGGACTTGAACCAGTAATCCATGAAGGGTGTGCCAAGAAGCTTCGCCGCCGCCCACTCCAAATGCAACCACCTAACCTCATCCCAGCGATCCTCGAGCAAAGCTGCTGCGTCCCAAACCACCATCCAGCGCGTTTCCGCGGGTCTGATAAACTTGCAGCCCCACTTGACGCCCTTGCAGCCAAAGACGAGATTTTGAAATCGTTCCCATGAAATGCAAGAGGAGTCGGACCTGCTTGTGTTGTACCAAAGAGTTCCAAGCAGAGCTACGAGGTGATTGTTCTCCCACTCGTGCCAGGACCCTTTGCCGGAGGGCCCATGAAAAACCGGCACTCCATCCCGGCGTTCACGGCGAGATGGAGGACATGGAGGGCGCAGCCGATGCGGACAGCGAAAATAGGGCCTTCTCCGCTCGGGACATCGGCGTGTTCAGGAGTAGAAGCCGCAGGTTGGGTGTGAGCCTCACTGGCGTCGTCGGCCATTTTCGTGACGACTGCTGTATCCGCGGGGGCGTGGCCCTCGTCCAGTTGGCGGAGGAGCGCACCACACAGACACCTTTGGGGGGCAATTGCGCTGGTGCTGCCGCTGCTGCGGACCTGCGGTACACCCCAGATATCACACCGAGACTACACACAAACACACACAAAAAAATAGAGCAGAAACAGCACGCTCGAAGACAGACTTTTATGGGCTGTTCGCCTTAAAGTAGACTCGGTTGTCAGAATTGATGGCATTGGATTGGTCTAAAATATTGTAGGAAGGAAATAAAATCTGTTCAAATGTACAGTAGTTCCGAGGGACAGAAATATTGCTCAAAATGAGGGTCACGCGAATTCCTTACAGTATGACTCCCGCTCGGTAGCCCGAAACAAATAGAATCCCGACAGGCCCCTTTCGAAGACGGCAATGATGTCAAGCATTAAACAAACACGTGTCGCCGACCCGTCCTCCCAGGCACCCTGTCTCCATGAAAGTCGCGGAAGAAACGACCTCTCCTTGTAAGCTACGATTGGGGATGCACAGCTGTAAACTGCAAAACTAGACAAAAAATCGACAAATAGTGCAACGTCCGCTTCTGTTGAACCAAGACATGCACACCACCATCAGCAGTTTTTCGTTTGTCTAGAAAATACGGAGCGTGATTACTCCCGTCACAGCCCCCGTACCGCAGGGCAACGACCCCTCAAAGATAAACAAAAGCTCGCCTGCTGCTTCTCCGCGGGAGGTCCCTCGGCGGCGACCTGCTGTTCAAGGGCAGCGGCTGTTGATTCCGCCGCATTGCTGCTCAGCGCCGCCGGCATGTTCACTCTGCTACGAGCCGACTCCGGAGCGGGCCCAATTCTTCGCTGCTGCCGTTGCGACGGCGGCGGGGCAGGGCGTGCTGTCGCCGAGGGCGGTTCCTCGGACGCGGGTGGAGCGTGCGGCGGCGGCGTTGCCACCAACGTCGACGGCCGACACGCGATTTGAACCCGCACATGAGGTTGGTGCTGTTGTTCCTGACGGGCCGGCGTCGCCGCCGCCGCAACAAAGGGCATCGGCGCGATGGAGGCCATATTACTGGATGCCGGAGCGGGCGAGGGCGACGGCATACCCACCACGGGGTCGGCCACGCCTGCCGCTGCCGTCACGGCCGCCGGGTCATCTCCCCCGGTCAGCAGCGGGCCGAAGTCGGCCTGCTCGTCGACAAACAGGCCTGCGTTCGCCGAGAAGGCGCGCCGCCACAGGTCGTCGTCCTGCATCACACCGTCCATGCCTTTGCTTCTCCCCTTTCCCAGTCCTACGCAATGCCCGTGGGAGTTCGGACGTGCGTTCCCTGTGCCCTTGTTGAAGGTCCCGCTGTGTGCTGTTTGGCGTGTGTCATGTCCCGCCTAGGAGCTCCGCAAAATAGAACGGGGGTACCACTTCAGTCGGAGGTGGTTGGGCTGTTCGTCGAGTGAAAGTCCAAGCCCAACACCCAGCCCAGCACTCTCCCTGCTGGCGCGTTCGTGCTCCTCTCCTCCCACACACACCACGGTGGTGATTGAGCGTGCGTCGGGTGGATCGCTGGCTCTGTTGGCCGCCAGACTTACTCCCAACCTCCCATTCGTCCTGCTCAAGGTGGCGACAACGCTTCGTCGCGTCGTTCTCCCGTCGTCGGACTAGTAACAGCGCCCGTCTCTCGGCAAACCAAACCTACCGTAGCTGCAGCGTGCAGCATTCACGGTTGCTGCTGCTGTGTTCCCGGGTGAGATACACCACAGCACACGATCCTTCTTCCTCTTCACGCAGCGGGGCAAGGAGAGCCCTGGTCGCGTAGTTTTTCGCTTGTTGTTGTTGTTGTTCCCGACGAGCGAACAGCAGCGGCCCAAAGCACGTGTCTCAGCAGCGGACAGCAGCTGCAGCACACAGCACACACACAGCCGACCCGCGACCACCGCGTCAGCGGCAGCAGCAGCAGCAGCAGCAGCATGGACGCTCCGAATCTCCTCACCATCGAGGGGAGGGGGGGGGGAGCCCAGCTAATAGTGCCTCCGCACCCTCCGCTGGCTGCCGGAGAAGGCTCGGCCGACGCGCGCGAGGGGAACGCCGATCGAGATAAGTTCGATCAGTCCGCTGGCGGTACCACCGCGGCAGCAGCAGCGGAAGCTTCTGTTGCAGGTGCGTCGTTCGAAGAGCTTGCACTTTCGGGGGATTGTCGTTGTTGTCCCTTTCAGCAGTAGGACAAATGGGAAGAATTATTTTGGGGTATCACGGGCGGGTTTGGTCGGAAGCTCATGAGTTGCCCGGAGTGTTTGTAGCACGTTGACGTGCGCCAGGGTTAGAATCCTTGTGGGGATGTCAACGCAAGTTTCCCGGACGATTCATCTCTCGAGTACCAGGTACCATTTACTGAATGCGGACTAATAACTCTGTGTCGTACTCGGAGTAGAGTTTACTACAAGTACCGTAGGAGTTTTATGCATGCAATCAGCCGGACTGCTGAACATCCTCAATGTGCCGTTCAGGCGTATGCCGTACGTATTACACAAGTAAATAGATGTTCAACATTTATCCGGTGCTCCGCGGCTCAATGGCATTCATGCCGGTGAGTCCGCGAAGTTGGTGGACGTTACCGGGCGCGGCAGTGGTACTTGCTTGTTGTCGTGTCTTCCATTCAAGGGACACGCTCCTTGCGATTACCTACCAGGTATGCAAATCCACCTCAACGTATCTAGATTCTAGGCTGTTGTCGCGTCTCGCCCAAGGTTCCAACTATCCGCGAGGTTTCACAGACATGCACATGCTGTACTTACTTTTATGATGTGGGTCAACAAAGTTTACCTTGTCGTCGGCCTTGTCAGGCCGCTCGTTCGGGCCGTCTACAGGTTGAGCGATTGACCACGGACAGAGGTAGCGACAGACACGGCACCTACGCGGGAGGGCGTCCGACATGAAGAAAAACCCTGTCTCCTGTTCGTTGCCTTAGCTCCTAAGCCCACCCGCCCCCAATGCTTACCGGCGATGTTTCGGTTTTCCTCCGGTGTCGTCTGTTGCCTCTCTCGCACCTCCCGTTTCGACCTCTTGCAGAAGCAAATCCGGATGACCCAGATCACGATGCAAAGGTATGTACGGATAGTTGGTGTTTTCATATGACGCGGTAGAATGCCATGGTGCTGCTCGAGCGAGCGACCAACTATCAGCGTGGGTGGCATATCAGTCGCATTGTGGCCTGCCGCACTGGCGTCCATGTCTACCTTCGCCCAACTCGGTTGATATTGTTTCGCACCCCCCGTTTTATGCCGAGCCACGAAATGAGCCCCAGCGCTATCGGTGTCGATGATAATTATTCCACAGCCACGCGGTTGCGGCGTGTTGTCCTGTCGGAAAGATTGGCGGGACAACGAAGAAAACCGACTCTTAAGCTCGCAGTATCGCCGTGACATCATCACTCGCGCGCAAGAGTCGGCGATGCTCTCCTACTGCCACCTACCCGTTTACGAGATGTGTTTTTTTTCCCCATGACCCTGATTTTACTTCATACTCTTTAAAGACTGGCGTCAGGTCGTTTTAGTGAGCCGGTTCACGCGATCGATGTAGAAAACTGCAGGTATGCAGCAGTACACTGGCACCCAAGGAAGTGTTTTGATTGGTTAGTCGGCCAGCGAGGATGGTCCCACTCAACGAGACCAACACACGCACACACAAACACCTCGTGGGGTCCCAGATCATGGTGCCTTCAGAAGCGTTTTCTGTTTTTGACCACACTTAAACCGATATGTTCACATATTTCCAGCCGGTTATATTCGCGGTCGATGCTCATAATTAAGACCGTATTTTCATTGTCCAGTCGATAAATAGCGCGGGCGATGCTAGTTTTTATGACCAACGGCTTGTCATCGTCCAGCCGTTTATGTGGCGCTGTCGATGCCATCAATACCGACACACGCCCAAACGCGCATATTCCTTGGCCGCCGCGCAGGTGGTCGCGTTCGAGCGCTGGCTACTGGGGAACGGAGCCAGCTTTCCTCGGCTCGAGATCCGGCGGTACGACCCCGAGGTTCGAGGGGTGCACGCCAAAGGGGAGATAGACCCAGACGAGGTCATCGTGGAAATCCCGCTCAAGTAAGTGTGTCGGTGTTGCTGGGTCCATTGCTCCCTGTGTACCCCTCCCCGCACCGCGTCAGTTGGACCAGTCCGAATGTTAAGACGGGACGGTTTTAAATGTTAAGACAACAACATCAACAACCACAATGCTCGTGCAAGGCGATGAACGCTGCACCGTGCTGAGGTCATAAGAGTGAGGGTAAGTAGCACGGGCAAGAGCGTGAATGCAAGGAGGCATGGTTATATGGGCAACCCTTAATGTTAGAATGGGCTTGCATATCTCGCACCACAGACACGGAGGCAGATCCCGCGTCCAGGGGTTACTGTAGTTTGTTGGTTTGGTAATTTGTGTATTGACGTAAATGGGCGTGAATAATACGAAAGCGCGCATGCATTGTTCCTCCGCGCAATGTTCTGCGGATCACTCCCGGTACGCACGCATCTGTTGCTCTGGAGAGACCGTCTGTTCGCCAGGCGACCGAAAAACCAACACCCTCCTGTGGTCTGAGATAGCAAACCGTTGAAGGGGTAGATACAAAGTAGACTCTCATAGGTACATTCACAGCAGCTCCCGTGGCTGCCATCAGAAGAGGCCGTTCACAGGTGTACGATCCTTGGGAGGACGAACACGTTGGGGACGTTGGGGACACCGGTCCATTGCAGACGGGTGTCGTGCGACGTTTCGATGCTGACGTCGACCGTTGGACCGAAATCCTGGAAGCACATTGATTCATCGGATCCCGTTCGGACACGCGCGCCCTCCTCCTCCTCCCCCACCGAGCTCACTCTGTTCTCCACCCTCTTCTAGAGCACTCTTGCGGTTTGCGCCCACACCGCGCCCACACCGCGCCGTCTCCAGCTTGTTGAGCCATCCCTTATCCGTTTCTGCAGGGACCATCCTTTTCACCCCTTCCTCCGCTGTTTCGTGGTTCCTGTGGATCGACAGTCGCCATTTTATGTCACGCCAGCCGGTCATCATCAACGTTCTCAGCTCTCCCGGTGTGTATGACAAGTGACACACCGGGAGAGTTGAGGACGTTGATGATGACCGGCTGGCGTGGCATGAAGGTGGCGACTGCCGACCCACAGGAACAAGGAAGCAGCGGAGGAAGAGGTCGACAGGATGGTCACTGCAGAAGCGGGAAAATGATGGCTAAGCTTGAGATGGTGTGGAATGGTTTTGATTGCGGATAATTGAAAACCTCATGCCCCCACCCGAAAACAAACCAATACAAACACACGATACACCGAAACAACAGGTGCCTGGTTACGGTGGAGATGGGCAAGGCTTTGCCGGTGGGCCAGGCCGTACTCGCGTCCGGTGTGTCGTTCGACGCCCCCAAGCACATCTTCCTCATGCTCTTCATCCTGACCGACATGAGGAGGCCGGACACCTTCTTCCGCCCTTACTACGACCTGCTGCCCACCACCCTGAGCAACATGCCCATATTCTGGACGGAGGAGGAGATGAGGTTACTCCAGGGGTCCTACCTCGTCACCCAGGTGCGCCTTGTTTGTTTCGTTGTTTTGTCAGGAGAGCCTGCCGGGGGTAAGAGCAGGGGGCCGTAGGGTTTACATCCTGCGCGAGGACACGAAAGTTCATTATCTAGCCAACACGTGCGTCTATTCACCTGAAGGGGAAGTGACTGCTGTGTTTTTTATTTTCATTTTGCTCCCGCCCACATAATCCCTGTTGCGAAAGACGGAGGCAGCCGGGGCTGTTTAGCGCCCCATTAACCACCCCCTCCTAGGTCTATGGTTTACCGCTAAGCCATGCGAAACATAGCCCCCCCATCCCCGCCTGGTCGACTGCTGTGCCCCTCACACTCACATAGGTGGAGGAGCGAAACCAAGCGATCGAAGGCGACTACGGCGTCATCTGCGACCTCTACCCGCCGTTCCGCGATGTGGCGACGCTGGAAGAGTTCAAATGGGCCCGCATGTGCGTGTGCAGCCGCAACTTCGGGCTGGACATCAATGGGCTGAGAACCAGCGCCCTGGTCCCGTACGCGGACATGCTCAACCACTACCGGTAAGAACGGGGACGTTTTATGATTGGGCGTTGGGCGGCGGTCGAGTGTCGGGAAGAAAGTCGGTGGGTAAACGGAAGCGTGGTCGCGAGAGAGAGGAGAGTTGTTACTTGCTTCTCACCGGCACCCCCCCCCCCCCCCCCCCCCCCCCCCCCCCC